TATGGTTTGATTTGAAGATGTTGATTCAGGGAGGTTTTACGTGTATTATATGGTTTGATTTGTTCGTTTTTATGATTATGTGTATTGTGCCATATGTGTATGTGTATTGTAGTTATGGATTATGTACATTAACAGTATGGGATATAGGTTTTATGTATTTTTATGATTATGTGTATTGTGCCCTATGTTTATGTGTATTGTAGTTATGGATTATGTACATTAACAGTATGGGTAGTTAAACTGTATGTGATTTGCAGCTGATCAGGATTTGGTAGGGATGTCATTGTGTTAGGTTGATGAAGCATATGACATGTATAATGATTATGCTTTTAGAGTAGGTTTTAGTGTGAGGAGGGGTAAGCAAAGATATACTTCTGCTACAAAAATAATGAAGACGAAGATGTTCCATTGTTCGAAGGATGGATTTAAAAAGAGTACAGGAAAAGGGTGTTATTCTAAAATTGCTGGTCGTACAAGTTGTGGTGCATATGTCCAATTCAATTTACATGAGAATGGGATGTGGATTGTTTCGAAGCATGAGAAGTTGCATAATCATGAATTGGTTCCACCAAGCAAGAGTTACCTTCTAAGGTCACATAGGATGGTGTCTAGGAATCATATATCCTATCTTACTGATTTGAAGAGCAGTGGTGTGTCTGTTGCAGATGGTGTAAGATTCCTTAAAACACAATCAGGGGGATCACCACTTGTTGGGTTTACAAGTAGGGATGCATATAACTCTCTATGTACCGATGCATTGAACAGATTGGATGGTACCGATTCAAACACATTGATTGAAATATTCAAACGGAGGCAGTCAAGTGAAAGGGATTTTTACTTTGATTTTGAGGTGGATTTGGAGTCAAGGTTGTGTAGTTTTTTTTGGAGGGATGGACGAATGCGGAGAGATTATGATTTGTTTGGGGACTTGTTAGTTCACGATACAGCATATCGTACTAACAAATATGACATGATTTGTGGACCTTTTGTTGGCATGAATCACCATTGCATGAATGTTATGTTTGGATGCGGTTTTTTGATGAATGAGAAGATTGAGTCATTTGTATGGTTGTTTAAGACATTTTTGAGATCTATGGATTACAAAAGTCCACAAAGCATAATGACTGATCAATGTGCTGATATGGCTGCTGCAATTGTTCAAGTTTTTCCAAGTTCACGACATCGGCTATGTATATGGCATATTGGCAAGAACTCAAAGAAGCACATTAAAGGGTTAAGAAATCAAAAAGATTTCCTAGATATATTCAATTGCTTGTTGAAGTATACGGATAAAGAGGCAGAGTTTGAATTTTACTGGACAAGGTACGTGTCTAATGTATGCTTCGTTAAATTTTTTTTTTTTTGTTTTTATTATTAGTTTATATTGGATTATCATTGAATGAATATTTGTAGATTATATTATATATAATACAGAATTAATTTTTTTGGATCAAGTTTATGTGTATCTATTTGATAGTTTATGTGTATTCATGTATAAGATTATGTACATTAGTATGTTCTGTATGTGATATCCTGACATGCTTGTAGGTTTACTTTAATATATCTATGACATGTTATTTCAGGATGGTTACAACATATAAATGTCACAATAATCATTAGATTGAAAAGTTGTATGGGTGTAGAGAAAAATGGTGTCCTGCATTTAATAAAGATTATTTTTCGGGTGGGATTTTATCTTCTCAAAGAAGTGAGACCACAAATCACTCTATTTCTAGATGGTTGTCCAAGACATCTGGTTTGTGTGATTTTTATAACTCATTTGTTGGGGTCATATCAGAGTGGAGAAGTAGAGAGAATGGGGAAGATGTTCGGTGTTCACAAGGGGTACCCACAATGGTGATGGATAATGTTAAGATTCTGTTGCATGCTAGGGAAATTTATACAATTGAGATATATATCTGTTTGAAGAACAATTTTTGAAAGGTGGATCATGCTATCAAGAGTGTGTGATGTTGGAAGATGGTGTGTATAAGTATCATGTTTGGAGGCCTGATGTTGATATTATTAGGCATGAAGTGATCTTTAACAGTAGACAAATGGACATTGGATGTAGTTGCAAGTTGTTTACTGAATTGGGGATTTTGTGTTGTCATTGTTTACGCATTCTAAATGTGCATTGTGTTTCTGAAGTCCCCGAGAAGTATATTTTGAAGAGGTGGACTAAAAAAGTTGTTGAAATTGATAATGTTGATATAATGTCTAGAGTTGATAGTGGTAATGGTGCATCTTCTGTTTGGTTATTAGAAATCATTAGGAAATTTCAGAGGCTTGCTGTTTACAGTCAGGAAAATATCGAAGGACGGAAGATCTGTGAAGAAGCAATTGCAGATGCAAAGAGAAGACTTGAAGCTGAATGTGGTGGCAGTTTATTTGAAGATTGTGACATAGGATCGACAAGTGGTGTTATAAAGGATCCATCTACTAGGCGGACGAAAGGGTTGCGGAATAGGAGGGTGAGCAGCGTTATTTCAAAGAAATATAACAAAGCAAGGGGACGGAAGCATCTTGCAAATATGGTTGCTTCCAAAATAAAATCTGCTGTTCAGTCTCAAGTTGAGGATGATATTTTAAATATTGCAGGCGATGGATATCTTGTCCACCCAAGTTCCGGAGGTTCTAGTTTTTGTCACGTTAGCACAATGTCAAGGATGGAGGATAATTAAAGCATATGTAAGTGTTAATCATCGTAGTTATATGTATCACGTACAGAATGATGTTAAATCACATAACTCAGCTGTAATAAAATATACATTTATTATGATATGTGCTGTTTTAAAAGTTTATGTGTATTCATTATATACTTTATGTGTATTCATTATATACTTTATGTGCATTACTTCATATGATTATGTATATTTTTATTTGTGTTAATTACTTTTATATATTTATGTACATTTCTTTTTTAGATTTGCAGTTATCAGTATAGGGAAATGATATGTTTGGTCCTATGTGTATTATGTACATGGATTACATTCAGTAGGATGTTTGATTGTATATATTAGCAGAAACAAAATATTTGTTAGACTTTTTTTAGTAGTATGTGCACTGTTTGAAAGTTTATGTGTATTAATTATATAGGTTATGTGTATTACTTCATATGATAATGTACATTTTTTAATAGTTCATAGTTTGTGTAGTATATGCATTGATTATGCACAAAACTATATTGGGGAATATGAAAAATATAGAATACAAGTAAACATTAGATTGGATTACCAAAAGGAGCATATACAAATTTCTGATAATTGTTTATCAACTGAAACTTCCAAAAATTGAACCAAAAATACAAGTAACCCTGAGTTTGGATTAGCAGAACTGCTTTTTACCAAGTTTGCAAAACACGCTAGGCACCCCCTAGGCGCCGCCGATTTTTTGAATTTTTTTTAAAAAAAAAAATTAAAAAATTGTAAAATTTTAATACCTATATATCTAAAATGGTTAAAACTTAAAAGTTAAAACTATTTAAAAGTGTAAATTATATAATGTATAGTAATATAGTATAGAACTAATGTACTATAGTTAAATAAGTTAATTATTTTTATTCATTTATTCATTTAATCCATATTCCATATTCCTATACTCCTATTACTCTATTAGTCCACAACTCCATAGTCCAAACTTCATCGTTCATACATTCATATATTGAAATATTGAATCATTGATATTTGAATAATTTGATACAAATCATACAATCATACATTCATAGTTTCATACTACACACTTCATAGTTCATACATTCATACTTCAAGTCATCAAATTTAAAATAGTTCATAGACCATAGTTCATACATTCATACTTCAAGAGTTCAAGTCATCAAATTTCAAACAAAGACACAAAGTACATGACAATTAAACACTAACAACATATCAAATATTCAAATGCAAGTATTCAACTTTCAGGGTGTTGTTCTTCCACTTTCCCATCTATCACTTGATTTTCATCATCTTCAAACTCAACCACCACTTCTTCTTCTTCTTCACTTTCGGATTCAAAGTTCTCTTCTTCAAGCTCCTTCAATCTAGAACTCCGTCGTGGTCTTAATGCGTCATCACCTTCCTCATTAGTAGCCACTTCATCTTCACCAACAACCTCAACTTCATCCTCAACAATCCAATCTTGTGCGAAGGTTGCATCACTAGCAAGTAATATTTCAACATTTTGCTCTTTTTTCATTTTGTTCATCAAGTTTGCATTGAATTGCACAAAGACTAGATTGTTTAGGCGATTAGATTCCAACCTATTTCTTTTTTTTGTATGTATCTACAAATATACAAAACAAATGTCAAATATATCATTCCATCAATCCATCAAAAATACAATACTAAAATAGAAAAGAAGTAAATAACTAAGTAAATATTTAAGTATTTAACTAACCCCTTCAAATGTACTCCAATTCCTTTCACAACCCGATGAAATTGAAGTAAGAGATAGAATTTTTATCGCAATTATTTGCAAGTTTGGAGTTGTCCCACCATAAGTTGACCACCACATTGCTACATCAAAATTGTATAAACAATATTAAGTATAAAAAATCAAAATATATAAAATTTTAACTTAAAATTCAAAACTAGTATGTAACTCATTTACCCGGATCATATCGCTCATTATTTGTCTCACATCCTTTGACCGCAAGTGTCTTCCCAAATACACCATATTTCCTCTTGTAAATGGGAAATTCATCATTCAATACCTTGTTTTGCATTTCTATACCGTCATGGTAATATGTTTCAAGAAACTCAATACATCCAAGAGAAACATTAACATCCAAATGAAGTCGAGGATCCTTAAAATGATAATAAGGATTCAACATGAAAGCCATCAAATGAAGAGGAGAATCTAGCCTATTACTCATCTTTTCTTCGACTATCTTAATAATAGGCTCATAGTTTCTTACCACTTCATTGAATGCCTTCTTAATGTCCTCTTTGGCTTGCATAAACTCACCATAAACAAATCCCATTGAAGGTTTCTTATCTTGATCAACAATACGAAGCACCTTCACCAACGGTGCAAAAAACATTCAAGCATAATGTAACCCCTTGCCAAAATGAAGTATTCAAGACAGTAACATAGGAAGCTTTCCCTTTAACTGTGTTGGCAAACTTACATTCCTCCCATTCATTGCTTGTTAACATAGCCCTTAATTCAATTTTCTTAGCAAGTAAACTCTGCAAAATTAAAAATGCAGAAGCAAACCTAGTCACACCTGGCCTAATTATGTCACGTTTCTTTGTATAGGTTCTCATCATTGTCAATGTTTTGTGGTGTGCATAGATAAAGATAGTTAAGCTCTTTGCTTGATCAAGAACTTTTTTGAACCGGGGTAAACCTGCAAAGGATTCAAGTATGAAGTATGAACAATTAGAAGATTTAAAGTTAAAGAATAAAGATTAAAGAAATAAGAATAAAGATTTAAAGATTGAAAGGTACCTGCAATGCTTTCAAGCATTAGATTGATGGAATGAGTTGCACAACATGTCCAAAATAGTCGTGGCCTCTTCTCCTTCAACAATTTAGCCGCTCCCATGTTGTTTATGGCATTATCTGTGACAATTTGTACAACATTGTTCTCTCCAACTTGTTCAATCCCATGCTCCACATATTCAAATATAAACTGACTTGTGTGTGCCTCACTTGAACATTCTTTAGAAGATAAAAAAAAAAACAGTGCCTAATCTTGAATTTACACACAAGTTCATGACGCTTCTTCTCTTCCTATCTGTCCATGCGTCAGTCATAATTGAGCAGCCATTTTGTTTCCACAACGCCTCATGTTCCTTCAAACTGTCCTTGACGCGATCAACCTCTTTATTCAAATATGTTTCACTCAGTTCATATCTATTTGGTGTCTGCACTCCCGGACCGAATTGACCAGCAGCTTCAATCATCAACTTGAAGCTATCTTTCTCAAGAACATGAAATGGAACAGCTGCTTCATACGCCCATCTACATATGTACTCTTTCACTCGATTCACCCTCTCCTTGTCAAATGCCTCAATTATACGTTGTTGCGCCGGGCCCCTTCTTGAACTCAAAGAAATTTCAGGATTGATTTGGTTAGCAAACTTATCCATAGGGCCAATTGGACGAGGTGGCCTCATTTGTTCAGACTCTTGCAACTCATCAACATCAATACTATTTGTAGGCGTATTACTCAAACTCTCATGCGAACCAATGTTTACCTCCGCTCTTATATTAAGTTCTTCAGCTCTCTTGTTCTTTTCTTTGTTCTTCGCCATAATGAGAGCATCTCTAGATTTTATTTGATCTTCTTTTGAAGCTATGGGGCATTTGCTAACATTCCCTGAAATACCGGCAATATGCTCTTTGATCCGATAAACCCCACCAGACATTACTTTCTTGCACAATAGACATTTAATCTTGTCTGATGACTTAGTAGGATCATTAAGTACCCCATAGTCCCAACCTACATCATTGGACTTTCTTTTTATTGTAGTTGACGTTGTAGATGGTTGAGAAGATCCAACACTTTGAGTTTGATTTGGTGGTTGAGAAATATCATCACTTTCCAATTCCATTTCCTAATTAATAATAGATTAATAGTATAATACTTAATACTTAGCAAATTAGCAATTCAATAACAATATAGACATATAGCAATTGAATAGCAAATTAGCAATTGAATAGCAATATAGGCATATAGCAATTGATTAGAAAATTAGTAAATTAGCAATTGAATAACAATATAGGCATATAGCAATTGAATAGCAAATTAGCAATATAGCAATTGAATAGCAATATAGCAATTGAAAATTATTAATTATATAAATATATAACTATATAACTATATAACCATATAAGTATATAACTATATAAAATTATAAATTATAAAGAATTAAATATTAAAACAGTAAAAATGTAAAATACTTAAATAGGGCTTTAGGCTTACCTGGAGTGGGACTGTGGGAGGCTGTGTGGCGCTGTGTGGCGGCGTACGGCGGTAGGCGGAGGCGGGAGCGGTGTGCGGCGATCGTGTGCGTGGGTGTGCGGACTGCGGAGGCCGGAGGTCTGAATAGCAAGGCTGCAAGGGTTTCTCCGTTTCTAGTCTTCAGTGAAGTAGAATCGCGATTCGAATCGCATTTTTTTTGGGTTAATCGCCAAAACGACGTCGTTTTGGCGATTAACCCAAAAAAAAATAATAATAATAAAATAAACCGGGGTTCGGCCGGCTAGGCGGTCTAGGCGCCGCCTTGACCGCCTAGCCGGCCGGCCACGGAGATGGCCGATTACGGCCTTCTTCGCGGCGGCGCAATGACGCCTAGCGCTTAGGCGCGATTTTTGCAACATTGCTTTTTACAGATTCTTGTTAGTAGTTTCACTTCTATTTCTTGTAGTTCTCCCTTGCTGATTGCATGACTGTTTCCATGTATTCGTTTTTCTTCCACATGATGATGTTTGCTGCATATTTTGCTCTAAGCGATATAATGAAAGCAGCCTACAGTAAACAAAAGATAGATGTTAAAATTAGAATAAACAAGAGATAACATGTGTAATGTAAAACAAAGTTGATTATTACTTACATCACTATCACCCCCTATGAAACCAGTTTCCCACTTGTCTACCGCAGTCCCTTTGTAAGTTTCCATGTGGCGCATGCAATACACACCACAATCTGTTGTGTTCTCTTCATCCTGCCATGGCATGTGAATGCACTCAGCTTCGATATTCTTCACTTTCCTTCCAAGGGAGTTTTTCTTCGATTGGAAATATTTATAGAAAGCTGTTTTCTGCACATTATAGTAATTGTAGTGTTTAATTAATTTAAGTAATGTAAATATTAAACTATAGGGTATAGATATTAAATAGGAGTATTAGTTTATCTTACCAACTTAGCCGGGCAGTTCTCATATCTGTTCGTATTTGGTATTCCTTTGGGCATTAGCTTGTTATCAATGATCTGAAGTTTTAACTTGGGGGTGTTAAAGCACATTAAGTAGTAGTGATTGTGCCTCAAAATTGTAAAGAAAACCTGAAATGAATAATTAAAAGGTATTTAACAAACTGTGTCAAATACAAACATAAATTCAATAATTTTAGAATTCATATATATATATATATATATATATATATATATATATATATATATATATATATATATATATATATATATATTTGTTTTACTTACAAGACTTGCATCTGTTATATCAATTGCAGTCCCCCTCAACTGGTAGTCAATATTTGTACAGAAGTCACCAATATCCATATTCATAGCTTTTATTTCAACATTTTCAAGCGTCATCTGTAAAGAAGAAGTTGTGTGTCATATAGTACATTGTTTTAAAAAATGCTTAGTTCTAGATGTGTACTTACGTAAGCAGCTTCCGAGAAGAAGATCCTTTTTGGTTGATCAATTTCTCTTTTCATATGAAGCACTGTCAATCTGTGTGCCCAGATTTGCAGGATATTTGTAGCTAGTTGCGCACTTGCCAATGTTGCAATGTCCTCCCTCGTTGCAAACAGATCATGGGCAGAAAACAACATTTCACTGGAAATAAACAAAACAAGTTGATATTACAAAATAAACACTTCACAATTTAAAGTAATCTACTGTTTCATATATTGTAAATGTATAATGTACATAATGTCATGAAGTAATACACATAACATATAATCAGGATACACATAATTTTGGAATACAAGAATAATGATTATCATGAACACCAATGTACATAATATTATGAATGAATACACATAACATATATCATGAATACACATAACATATATCAGGAATACACATAATGTGGTATATCAACTGAGAACACCAATGTACATAATATTATGAATGAATACACATAACATATATCATGAATACACATAACACATATCAGGAATACACATAATGTGGTATATCAACTGAAAGCATAATTTTATCACAATTTCTTAGAGTTATAAATTCAGTTCAATTATAATTCTAAGTTTCATGGTTTGCATTGACAAAACATGTATTCAGTCACTTCCCAAAATTTAGCAACTTTTATTAATTAATCCACGAATCTTACTCGGTTCTTCGGACTAACTGTAGTAAGTTACGTGATTTGACATACATCTTTTGGATTCCATTAATAATAAAATGTATCTTTTGAGCCAAATTCTAACTTGGTTTTGAAAGATGTATTTTGTTTTTTTTTTAGTATGTCCAACTATGGTGGGGAAATATATCTTCATTATTTAGTTGGACTTTAATTGGAACCAAAATTGATTATTTAGTATGTCCAACTAATGGTGGGGAATTATGTCTTCATTTGTTAGTTGGTCAATAAATCAATTATGAGTATGTATGTTATTAAGTTCATTTTATTAATTTCGTTGAAGAATATTTTAATCAGTGGGAGCAATCATTTAGCAAAAGATCATTAAGATACTCCACTAAAGTTTTTGGATTTAATTATTTTATTCATACATTCCAAATTGGGTTGTATGTTAGACAATAAGTCCAAAAGATTCCACAAGTATTAATCTTGTATTTGTTCATATAAATTCATAAGTTCAAATTATTGAACATTTGGTTGTGCAACATATTTATGAAAATGTTGTAACAATATTAAGGAATTTATTAGAACAAAAATATTTAACTTGTGGTGCACTGTCATTTAATAAATTCTTCAGTGATTAATAGAGTCTCTAGTTTCTTCAAAATTGATCCTGAGCCATTTTGGTTTGTAAGGCTCAAAGCAATTTTGTGAGACATATAAGTAAGACTCATTATGTTCAGTTTATTTAAAATGAACATTGAAGTTATTTGGAAGTTATTGTGTATGATTAAGATTCCAAATTTATGGACTTAGACCTTTGGTTTATTGTCTAAGTTATTGGAATGCTTCTGTGACTTGACTATCTTTTGGCTATTTTTGATGAGTGGGAGTGACAGACGTGTCAACTCCAAGCTCTTAGCTGTTAGAGATAGTACTTAAAGTTAACTTATAAAGAAGTCATGGAATATAGTTCGCATTATGCTAACATTAAGAGATCTCTACTTAAGGCATGCTTATAAAGTTTTAGAGATCATACAGTGTACTCTTTTGTACAATTTGGATGCGTTTTCTCCTTCAGTTGTGCACATAATGTATTTTGAGAAACATCTCTTAAGGTACCGAGAATAAACATAGGGTTTGTTCATTAAGGACCTAAGTTGGAGAATTAAAATGCATGTGACCATAATGGATACTACTCTGATTAAATAGAGGACATATCACTATGATTCGTGTGTTTTGTTCTTTGATGATGGTTGTGCTAGTACTTGCACCAAGTGGGAGAATGTAAGATTTTCCCTAATAATATATATTGTATATTATATATTAGGGCCTTAATTAAGTGGTGCAAGTTGACTAGGCTAATTAAGTGATGTGGTTGGACTTAATAACTAGTAGTTGTTAGTCAACTAAACTATGTGCCTAATATAAACCTGGATTGATGGGATACAGGTTTATGGATTAGATAGCACATTCAGTTACGGTACTCAGACTGCTCAGTAGACACCAATACACCATCTAGGGTTCTGAGTCAGGTCTGAGGCAAAACATGGCTAACGATCTACCGTTAAGAGGCAACACAACAGGAACATCAACTATGGCTGGAGATCTACAGGGCTACGCTTCTGCTATCATACGAGGTCAGGTTTCTCGTATACTATGGTTTATAATAGTTAGACTATTGTATATCTAACAGAATACACATAACACATATCAGGAATACACATAATGTGGTATATCAACTGAAAGCATCTGTTATAACAAGTTATAAATGAAATACATACTAAGAAGGGTAGTCAGTTTCATCTGGTGGCAGGAACGCATAGTCCGAGATCAGTTTTTCCCTGGCAGAAACATTCTTGAGTTTTGAAATGTTGCTTGTCCAGTATGGGGATCGACAAGCTAGAGGGAGGTTCTTGAACTTTCGCTGTGGCCTTTTCCGGACATTGACATCTTCAACATCATCTTCAGATTCAGCCATGATGCTTTGTAGAGATAGAAAAGTAATTAGAAACATGTTTTAACGTGTTAAGCAGTAGGCATAACAGCATGATTAAATAATTAACAAGGATAAACACACATAAGGATACTGTTAAGTGATAAGTGAATTTTACCTATCAAACTCAATTTGTTCTGGAGTTTTCTGTTCAATTGCTAGTAGTGATTGGGGTGAACCATCAGCTATGTCATCAACGAGCTGCTCCAATAGTGTTGCAATTGGGGTAACTGCTGTTGTTGCTGTATTTCCTTCCGTTGTTTGTGGTGGTGGTGTGGTGGGTGATGCTGATAGAGTTGCTGCTCGGGGTTCAGATGTGGGTTCGGGCGGAGGTGGTGTTGTTTCAGGTGGAGTTGCATTTCTTGGGGCTTCTTCGGGAGTAGCATCACGGCTAGTTGGCGTCAGGAGATTAAAAGTTGGTGCAGGTATGTCAGCAGTTGTCATGTTCTTCAATGTTGCCAAGAATGCCGCTTCAAGTTCAGCAACCACATCCAAGAAACTGGGTTGGTTGTAGATATCATCATCTCGCAGCAAGCTCTCCGGTGGGGTTGGA